GGAGAAGCTCTCTCCTGCCTTGTCAGTCTTGAGTGATGTTCTCTTTACCCAGTAGCCCTCTCATTATAGGACCCACTGGGAACCCCAGGCCCCCCTCTCCCCTCTACCTCTCCCCTCGGCTGCTGATAGTGGTATCAACCAGTAGCTCGCTCCCTGTAGCACCTTCTAACATCCAAGGATGAGATGGTGAAGACATACAGTTGTGGCCACCAACTGTGGAGGAAAAAACTTTTATAAATTCCCCAGTCATGGCCCAAATATCTACAAAGGAAATGTCTAGCTCTCTCCTGACAAGTCCTATATAACTAAGAATGTAAATAGGTTCAAATGATATTCCATTAAAACCTCAGTACATTCCAAATGGGGGTTGGCTACAATTCTGTAGGGGAAGGAAGGAAGGAAGGAGGGAGGGAGGGAGGGAGGGAGGGGAGAAGGAAGAAAAAAAAATAAGTTTCTGGTAGAGCAGTAGTTCTCAACCATGACTATATAATAAAAACTCCTGGGTGAAAAATGTCAGTGCTCAAGCCCACTTTTAGAGATGTTAAATTCCCCAGTGATGCCATGTGCAGTCAGGGTTTAAAGACAATGTAATATGGCATCATATTTTATTAAATAGTGACTCAATAATATTCAATTACTCAACGAGAGTGGCAACTAAAAAGGATTTTAAGTTGTTAAGAATTGCTACTAAAAGCCCACCAGCTTATTACAGAGGGCTAAGAGTTCCAAGGACTCCCTGAGAATTCCCTCTTTCCTTGGGTTAAGTACTGCCATATTCTTGAGTCCTGAATCCCACTTCCCTGAGGGCTGCCGAGTAGCCCCATGCCATGTAATTCTCCTCACGCCTCACTCTTCTAAAATTGTTACTAGATCAATGCTTCAGGCTCAGTCCAGTCAAACATCTTTTCCTAATAATAAGATAGACTCGGGGGCTTTTAGGATCCATAGATCATTCCCACAACTCTTATTAGCTAAAGGTTCATTCATTCACTACATCAAAACTTTTATAACTGCTGGCCAGTTGAAAACTACCTGAGGCAGAGTGATGAATTGGAAAGAGCACCGTATAGGAAGCTGAAGGCCTTGAATCAAGTTTCAGATTTGCCCACATGTCTCCAGATGACCTGCAGCAAGTCACATAACACTGAGTTTCTGTTTCCTTAAACATAAAGGAGAAAGTTGGTTAATGTCTACTATCTACTGAGACTCTGAAATGCTACGCTGCGTAGAATGTTCTTATCCACATGCTGGTGATGATGCTAATGAACAGTAGAGTGAGAAAGTAAGTACAGAGAAGCATAAGAAGAAAGCTAGTGGTCCAGATGAGCAAAAGTTGACAAATTTGCTTTCAAAGCATTGGCATCCCTGTAGGTTGCCTGTTTGAAAGACTACAATGGAGTCATATGGCAGTAAAATTTGTTAGGTTCTACTTTCTGCCGCTTGTCTATATGAAAAGACTATTTTCACTCCCCTCACACTGTGAAAACCACCCTTGCAAAATGAAAAGGCAATGATCTGATTCTCTAGCTGTTAAACTGCCTATACGAGGGAAAGTGGTGATGTTTAAAGTGAAGAAAAAAAACCCTCCAATATGCCAGGAAAGTTTAAAAATATTCCAACCCCAAATTCAGTTCGCTGTTCCTTTACAACAGCTCATGCACCCACGTCTCTCCATTCTTGTCTTTCCAATGACCATGACCATCTCATCATGCAACATCCTCAAGACCACCCTGCATGTACATCTATGCCACTTGATGTGTGACTTTCCTCCTCCAAAAAGTTGTAAGACTCTTTATTTCCTGCAGATCAAGCTAAACTGTTCAGCTTGGCATTCTCAGATCTCTACTGCCTAGCCCATAACCTAACTTTCCTCTCACCTTTCCTCAACACATTTCCTCCAGCCAGTCTGATCCACTTATTGTCCATCTTCCAGTGATGTCATACGAAGTCCCTCCACTTTGCCCTTTCTCATGCTCTTCCTCCCACATAGACTCATCTTGGCCATTCTTGGAAACAGAGCCAGCTCCCATTTCATCTCTGCCACGAAGCCTTTGTATTGGTTTAAAATGATCTTTCTTCCCTTGAATTGTACTAGGCAGCCCTTAAGCTTATACTTTCTTGTAATGTCTATTATGTTTTGTTTATTGCATGTTTCCTGATTAGACTGTATATTCTGAAGGACAAAGCAACATATTAAATGCTACTTTCTGCCTGTCTCTCCTCCTTTCTTCTTTCCTTTCTATCTTCTTTTCTTTCCTTCTTTCCTTCCTTCCTTCCTTTCTCCTACTTTCCCATAGTATGTACAGCAAAATTTGGGGAATACAGTAAATTACCAGTAGTAACCTTATTAAAAACACAGTAATACCAGACCTTAGTCAGTGAGGCCCTTGGTGCTTCTCTCTTACACAGCCTTATCAATGGAACACAAAAGTTCACTCATGTTCCTTAGCTTTTAGCTTGGAATTTGACACCTTTCAGCATGTTCCTTTGTGAGAATACTTTGTACTAATTGGACACATGTCCAAGTTTAGGCCCCTTTAAAATTTTATGTCTGTGTCCCAAAAGTACAGAAATGGTCTAAGAAATTTGAACCACTTTAAAGAGTTAAGTATTCCAGTAATTAAATCGCTTAATTATTATTTCAGTCGTGTGTTAAGTCAACCACTCATCATTTAGAGAGTTAGGGATAAAAGAATTAGAAACTACTAAGTCAGGAAGGGAGCCCACCTTCTGGTTTTATAGATGAGTCAGCTGAAGCTCAGACACCAAATCTAAATGAATCTAAATCTTGCAAAGTCCTTTGCCTTCCCCTTCCTCTTCTAGCAGCACCTCTCTAAAAGGGGGTTCCTCTATTTCTGTCAAACCCTTCCCCATCTAGTCCTTATTTCCCAAAGACTGTCTGTAAATAACATGCAGCCTTATCCAGGGACCTAAAGTTGGACAAGGAGATCAACCCATAGAGACGTCTTCCAATTTTTGAAATGATCTTATTTATGCTTCTAGGATAAAATCACTTTCTAGAAGTGGTCTCTAAGCCTTAGTAAAGAGATAATTTTTATGGACCTGAGGGGTAGCTATAGGAGGTGCGTTATAGATTTAGATACGCAAAAAGTGATTGTGTCTAAGAGTTTGTTGCAAGGAATAGTAAGAGTCCCAGGACAAGCAGAAGTGGGACAGAGCTGGTGAATCCTTTGCTATAGAGTTCTGGAACCCCCAGTCAGGCTTGGCAAGGGGTTAAGGAGAACACATGGCCCCCACTTATCTTCCTCCCTTCCTTCCATACCCAGAATGGAATTGTACTAGAGAGATACCCCACTTGCAGCCTCAGAGACAACATGCTTAAGTCACACTGGGATCCCAGAATACTTTGGAATAAACTCTCTCCCCGTCTGTACAATCTTGGCATACCCAGTGAAAAGGTGGGACCTTGCCATACCCAAGTCAATCCTACTATCCTTGGGACCTACCTCGGAGGCTGCTCTGCTTCAAACGTGGTCCTGAACAATTCAAAGGCTTACAAACTCCCCTTTCATTTCTATTTTAGGGTGGAAGGTGGGTTGTAAGAGGAGGAAGATTTTCCTAAATTTCCCCTAGGAATTTCCCCTAAAATTTCAGCCCAAACTTCACTTTTTGTTGTTTTCTTTTTTGAAGACTGGAAATCAATCGCAATTCTTCTCCCTTGCCTCAACACGTTTTTCTTCCATAAGTAAGAGCTTTGTGTTTCTGGAAATAGGAAATAAGCTTGTTTTGCTCATTCTTCTTGAAGCAGCTGCCTAGAGACTCATTCCTGGAAAAGTGGCTTTACCTCTCTGGACCTTAAATTTCCCACCTGCTCAATAAATGGGTCGAGGAGCGATGGTTAAATTCTCACCCACCATAAACAGTGGAAGAGTCTGAGGCCCACTGCCCTTTGACTTTTCTCCTCGAATGTCCAGCACAGAGGTAGTTGAAGGTTAAAGATCTCTCCAATGGCGAGTTGTTAACAAGGGGGTGAGGCTCACTGGCTGCAGGTTTACAGCCTCTCCCGGGCTCAAAGATACCCCTCTCCAAGATATCCCGCGTCCTGGCAGAAGGTTTTTGTGGCGCAGCTCTGTCGGTCTCCGGGCCACCCAGCTGTCTATACCATCTTTAAACCCGATCAAGCCCTGACCGCACACCTAGCTCGGTTTCTCACGGCTCTGCCGCCACCCCTCCTCCAGGTGCCTCTCGGTTCCCACTATTTCCCACTTCCAGAAATCCTTCCAGCCGCGCCAGCCATACTTTGCACCCCTCGCTTGGGGCTCGGGAGCTGGGCGCTGACGTGGAGTGGGGCGCTCTCTCGGGAAGTCCCGGGCTCCAGCCCCACCTCCCCGCATCAGCCTTTCTTGTTCGCTGCCCCCCACGCCCCGCCCAGACCCCTGCTGTCTCCTTCCCTCCAAACTCCTTGGGTGTTCTCCCGGAGCCCTCTTTCTTGTGTCGGTGTAAGGAGACACCCCCCCTCCCGCCCTTACCTCCCCAGTAAAACGGGAGCGGGTCAGTGGGCAGGGCGGCTGGCCCAGCCGAGCCACCGGACAGGCTCTCTGCTGGGCGGGGGCGGGGACAGGGGCAGAGAAGGCTCCGGGCCTCCCCGAGCTCCGGGGGCGCTCAGCTCTGCCCGGCAGCCGCACGGCGGGGCCGAATCACTAGAGCAGCCTCGCGCGGGAACCCGGCACCAAAGCGCCCGAGCCGCCGCCTCCAGCCCGCGGGCGCCCCCAGCGCTCACCGCGACCCCGGAACGCCGGAGTCCCGGGCGCCCCTGGAGCCCCGCACGCTCTTTTCCAGGCCCCCTCTAAGGAGGGGCGCGCGGGGGGCCCCAGAAGCACCTCCCGCCAGCCGACCCTCCCCCTTCCCTGCCCGCCCACCAGGCCCGCGCGGCGCGGCGCGGCGCTGCGCTCGGATTCCGGGAGGAAAGCGCCGCGCGGTGTCCCTGGCGTCCTCAGTCCTGCCCCTCGAAGTGGAGATGCGCGAGAGGCAGGCGAGGGCGCGCAGCTCGTGAGACGCCGCGCCAGCCGGCACCATGCGCCTGCGGCCGCTGCCCCTCGTCGTGGTCCCCGGCTTGCTGCAGCTGGTGAGTGTCCGGCCCGCCGCGCGCCTCGCGCCCTGGGGACGCATTTCGGCGGGAAAACCGCGTCAGTGGCCGACTCGGAAGCAGAGACTGGGGTTGCATGGGACCTCGGGGCTGGAAGCGCACGGAGTGCAGGGAGTTTGGGGTTGCTTTAGGGGTTGGAGGGGAAGAATCGCGGAATTTAATAGAGGGAACCTTGAGGCGGATGAAGGGCTTAGCAAGGATTGGGACTTGAGGGCTGGGGTAAAGTAGGCAGAAAGTGGCCAGGAAGAAGGTGCGAGAGGGGATGAGGGTAGAGGGAAACGATGAGGATGGTCTGAAAGATTTGCCTCCAGCCCAGAGTTTAAGGGGGTTGGTGGTTTTTATGTTTCACATGGTATTTTGCCCGGATGCCTGCAATCCTTTCAAACCCTGGCATCGTGCTTCCTTGTTCTCAGGGTCAGTTAGTAGCTCCTTGCTAGGAGAAAACTTAGGCAAAAGACCGATGGGGTGGGGGGCGCAGATTGGATTTCTCTTCGTTTTCCGTCTGGCGCTGGGGACTGGGATGGGGTTTTGTGCCGCTGGGGATGCAGGATGTAACTTTCACGCCCAACTCCACGCTGGAGCCCCCTCTCGGGAATCTCTTAAGCAGTATGCTACCAAAGACCTCTCCTGCCTCATCTGGCCGAGGGGACTCTGAGGAATATGAAGGGTATTAGAAGGTGTTTCAGGGTTCGCCAGCGAGGCTTTGGGCGACTGTTCGCCCTGTAACTATCTTCTCTCCTCGCTTTTCCCGCGTGGCGCCGCGCTGCCCTCCTTCTGAAATATACCTCCATACTGTATGTATTGTTAATTATACTTAAGGGCGATCCCAAGTAAAATCTTGCAGAAGACAACTTTTAAAGTAAAATTAGAGAAAGGGACTGCTTTTGCCTGTGTGATGGATTTCTCCTGCTCTCCAGGCACCTACCTTGATTCAGTGCTGTTAAGAGGGTTTTCTCCAGATTCCACGGTTTCTTTGGTCCTTATACTTAAGATTTTGCTCAGGTAGCTCTGGGCTGTTACAACAAGGTTAAGGAAACCAAGCACTTAGAGAACGATGATCTCTCCCTTTCCTTTTTCTTTTCTTTAGGATTCGGCGCTCTCTCCTTTTTCTTTTCTTTCCTCCTCTCCTCTCCTCTCCCCTCTATCTCTGTTATTTCCTTTAAGAGGATGAGATCCAGTAACTTACGAAAGTTTCTCTGTGAGATGTATGATACTGTAGATGCAGAGGTACTTGCAAATTTTGAGGATGGAAGGGAATTCTAAAAGGTCTTCGTGAAGGGGAGAGGATAAGGGAAGGCCTGTCCATTCTGGTTACAACAGAGATTAGCTTCACTTGCACAGCATTAGGTAAGAAATTCTTCAGTGGCGTCAAGAGGAAAATGCAGTGATGTTCCCAGATGTCCTTTGCTGAGCCATCACATCCTGCCTATACACAATATTGCATGTTAAAATAAATTTTACATCTAAGGCATTGTGCATGCAACATATATGCCACCTTAGACCTTAGTATCACTTGCTTTTTAAAATGTTTAAGCTGGATTCCAGTAAAAGATGGTCTAACCAGCAGCATTTGTATGGTGTGTGTAAGTAAAACTCCAAAAGCCTGGAGAAATCAGGTACTTAGGTAAGATCTTCAGGTTATCTTCATGAATCTCTCAGTTAATTTAATTTTGCATTCAGTGATCATGAACTGTGTATCTGTTCCACTGTGTTAGACTCTTAAAGATGAGAAAATATATTTGGGCATATGATGGGAAAAAGTTCTCCTGTCAGCCACCGTATTGGAAATGTTACATTTTTTTTTTCACACCACCATAGTCAATAGGAAATAGGAAATACATCTTGAAGGGATTATATACCCTCCTTAAGAGCTAGATTCTAATATTACAGCATGGATTGATTGATGCATTTTTAAGGAAGCTTATGTCAAATTCTAATCCGTTTTTGGATTGTGCTTGGGTTGTAATGTTTTTTTCCTGGAGCACTTTATCATGGTAAGTGAGGTCAGGGCTGCAGCTGTGTGATAAGCACACATTCCTTACACCGCCATCCTTTTGGACAATAAAAGGCTGTTTACATTCTCCACATTCTTAGAGCTGTTTCCAGCCATATAACACAAGGGGGTTAGGATGTGAAAGGAAAACAGAGTGGCTGAGGAAGGTAGACCTCAATGAAAACATTCCCCAATCCCACCATGTACCCCACCCTGGCAGGTATCAAGGAGGGCAGGTCATCATTTGGCCCTTTAGATGGCTCCCAGTTTTATTCTACCTTTTTCAAGCTGATATTGAACTTATTTGCTGAGTCCCAATAGCAAGTGGATAAAACGTTTTCTTGATTTAGAAACTAGTCTTTTAATTTTCTAGGAACTAGAAACGTATATATTTAGTAGATCTGCCACTGGGGGAACAGGAGCGGGGGCAAGGTTGGGTTATTGCTGGAATTGGATTTTATTTTTTCATCCACCCTGGCAACATGAAGAATGTACTTTTTAAAACATGCTAAATATTTTAAACAAGTAGTGGATTCATTTGGGGATTTTGAAACTTAATTTTAAGAAAATTGTCTGTTTCATCGAAAACAGTCACAAGGAGTTGGGTTCAAATAAGTCACTAACCACATCATACTGGTACAATAACTAGAATATTTTTACTTGTTTTTGTAATACTTAAAATGTGTAAGAAAACAGTCAGCTGAATTGATAAATATTGCAGGTAGCCTATGAAGTACGTGTGTGTGTTACCTGCCCTTGTCCAGTTCTCCTTCCTGTGTCCAGTGTTGTAACAGATAGCTTGCTTTACCTAATTAATAGGATTACTAGGCAGTTGCACAATTTAAATATCAACCCTGCATGTATTATATTCTCCGAAATCCTTATTCAGCAACACATTCTTTATTACAGTATTAACAGCACATTATTTCTTTTCTGCCATCTAATGATGAGAAAATTAGCATTTGGAATTAATATTATAATATAATGAGTGTTATTTCCTGACATGATACAAAGTAAAGACTTCGCTAGATGACAACTTCTTACAGATTTACATGATAATTTGGAACTCATAATAAGTGTGATTTTTGCCTTTAAGTAAAATGCAGATTGTAAAAAGATTAAATTTGAATTTAAATGGATTATTAGCTTGATTTTAAGATAAAATTGAGTGATGATTTTTAAAATAAATTTGTTATACATTTCAACTTTTTTTCTGTGATATAATGATTTTTTTTAAAGATTTTATTTATTTATTTGACAGAGAGAGACACAGCGAGAGAGGGAACACAAGCAGGGAACCCCCTGCTTAGGGGGAGTGGGAGAGGGAGAAACAGGCTTCCCGCGGAGCAGGGAGTCCGATGCGGGGCTCGATCCCAGGACCCTGGGATCATGACTTGAGCCGAAGGCAGATGCTTAACGACTGAGCCACCCGGGCGCCCTGTGATATAATGATTTTATAAAGTAAAATATAAATTAGAAGTGATGTAAGTTAGCGAATTTTTAGAATTCTATAAAACCAGAACACTTGTGAGGCAAGGTGTTACAATTTTAAGTTCATCCTCATTGTGCAGTATCATCCCACATGAACTTATTAAGTGTACTTTGTTTATCTTTTAACAAATTAATAATTTTAATGTTTGTTTAGTATGATATTCGTAACATATATTTATTTTCAGCTCCATATTTACAAAAAGTGGTAACTCATGACTGTCTTCCATTCAAAAATCATAATTTCCCTCATACAGTTCTGATCAATAAACATCAAAACAGTATTTTCTAGTGTAGAATCAATGGTCTCTTGGAGAGATGACAACGCACAAGAGTAAAAGTACCACCATATCATGGTTACGACTTAGAGTTGACGGGGCATTAAAATTAATTCCTCATTAAAAGCATCATTATCTTAGACATTCTTAAAAATGAGAATTAGGATTAGACAGCTAAGTCCTCTATGCTAGCCACTCACCTCTCAGTGTAAGTTGTGTTCCCTCGGCCTATTCTGAGATTTATGTTATCTGGTTCAGTTTTAAATGCCTTCCCCATAGGAAACTGACTCCTCTTGGGAACTTATTTTATAGCGTAATAGATTTCCAAATGGAAAAGAAAGCTTTCTTAATCTTTGTTGTGTTTTTTTTATATTCTTTTTTTATTGTTTCTGATTAATGATCAAAATGCTAAATAAGGCAGAAGGCTTTTTGAAAAACCTTTTAGAGGTTTTACATTGTCAGCTTAAAACGTGTGGCTCTTGCAAATCAAATGAATTAAGAAATGTTGATTTTATAATACGTTGCCCACCTTTTACCTATTAAAGAGCTAATCAATACACTTTGAATGATTTAGACATTTAGTAGTAGCAACCAAAGGTGAATATAAATGTGTCCCAGGTTTGTGATTTTGTAAAAGCTCTAAGACCGTCTCTTACTGTTTACATATTCTGCGGACTCCTTTACCTGAAGCATTGCTGGCTAAGATTTGAAAAAAGAATTATAGCTGCACACTCAAGTGCCTACAGTTAGGGCTGTGTCAGCGTTTCTGTAAAGAATCTCATTTCTATCTTAGCCATAAGCATTATTGCCGGTAAGAAGTTGGCATTTAATATCTTGATTTGGGAGTCAGTTATTTTAAAGCTGCTTTAAAAAATTGGTCCAAATGATTTTGAGCACTCATCCATGTGAGGTTACTCTCTCAGTTTTCATTCAGTATGCAAGACAATGATTTAACAAACTAATTTCTGTATTAGTCTGGCATAGAGGTTATAGTGTTTAAATTATTTTAAGATAATCCTTTCCCAATTAACCCATTTATTGCACCATTGTAAGACTTTGAAACACTATTTCATCATAAATGTTTTTAATTGTGCCAAATTCATCATGCCCTAATGATTATTTTTGTGAGTTTTTATTTGCTAACAATCTACTTGAAATTTTTTTACTACTTTTGAAATGACCGATGGTGTTAATACAACTCCATTCTTTATTTCAGAACC